TATATATATATATATATATATATATATATGTATATGTATATGTGTGTGTAAAATTGTACTTTAACACTGTCAAGATTAAAATAGTAAGCTAAATATGTTTTTTTTCCTAATGAAATATGACCTTCATTCAGATCACAAAACCGATTTGCATAAATAGTTTTTTTTAATAGTTAATATTTATTTATTATTATGTTTTTATTGTTGTAAGTTTTATTTTTTATTTTTTTTAAGCAAAAAATCATTTCTGCATGTGTTATTGAATACAACATAATCATAATCTGTACCGGTCATAAAAATTATACTGATATTTCATAATGTCCCTGATGATTTGCAGCGCCCCAGCGCACGTTTGGCTGCTACCATGCTGCACATCAGCCTGTGGGGAAAGTGTGTGTTGGCCAGCTTGAACCAGGCCAGGATGGATGAGCTGACGGACTGGCTGCTGTGTCAGACTGCTGTGGTGCTGCTGAAGGGTCGAGGGTCCGGCGGGAGCTCTGTGGAAGCTGAACTCCAGAGATGCTTTCTCGCCAACATAGACCTGGAGGATCTCCACACTGCAGTCAGCTTCCTCATGTACGGACAAGAGCAGTGGAAATCCCTGCTAGTGCACTACACTGAGCCATAGTGTGTGTGTGTGTGTGTGTGTGTGTGAGTGAGTGTTCACTGGAGAAACAAGCACAGCTCAGTACCAATTATTTTTTTAGTAGACTGTGGAAGCACTTTAATCTATCACTGACATTTTGATACTATGGCATTTGCACTTTTCAGTATATACACTAAGAATACTTTATGCTGTTAATGACTCTTTAGAATAACAGTTTAAACCGAGTACAAATTCATGCATAATGTAATGCATTAATATCCACAGTATATCACAGTTTACTGAATATTGTTTAAAAAAGGAGGAAAATAAATGCAGAATAAATTATACAGTTGATGTTTTTCTGACAGGATATTCAATACAAATTTGATTTTAACTTTTGGTAACTGATTGCATCATGAAATGTGTGTGTTACCAGAACAGAGTTGGTTGGAGAGGCTGGGAAAGTAATTGGGATTTGTGATGGCATTTCAGAGATAGAGCAAGTGATTATTTTTGGAGACGTTCACTATGACAATCTTTGGAAGAACATGTTCAGATGAATTATATAATAAGGCCAGTCATTGTGCATGTGCATTAAAAGTAAACAGGGTGACTTTTGAATGCATGCTGACTTCATTGTATATAGGCTGGAGATGACTAAAAAAGCCCAAAATAATAAAGAATTAGAATAGTATTGAAATAATGTGTTCTTGTCTTTTGCATATGACAATAAAACAGTTTGGTGATAGATTACACATATTAATATTTACACTGCATTGTATTATAATTGTAATATATAAGTTTCTAGTATGCCTAGTAAGAGAGCTTGATTAGCTGGTTCAGGTGTGTTTAATTAGTGTTGGAGCTAAACTCTGCAGGACATTATTATTATTATTGTAATTAAAAACAATACTTATACTATATATACAGTATATGATACTGTACATTCATATATAACACACTGTCATGAGTGTCACAAAAATGCCTGCGACAGTTTGTCGTTGTATAATTGTATAATAGGCCTATATAATAAAAACATTTGTATTTGCTGTGTGTGTATTGTATTACTATGTATAGGCCTATATGTATAGTATCGTACATTTTATAGACAGAATACTTTATAAAACATTTATATTTATATATTTTATTTTTATATATAATTTTATAACATTTAATATATTTAAAAAAAATACAAATATTGTAAAAAATTAAATGTAATCAAGAATTGTAAATAATTTTTAAAATATTTTTAATAATATTTGTATTTAGACATGCCTATAACAAACACTATAAAGTTGAAATATTTTTGAATATATATATATAACATTTTATATATTTTCAAAAATGTAATACAAATACAATACAGTAGTAATTAAAAGTAATACAATTAACTATTTTTATGGACATTTTATAAATTTGATATAAATTGTATTTAAATATAAATTTTATAGGCATACATTCTTATAATAAAACACATTCTTATAATAAAACATAATATTTATACATTTCTTTATTTTTAAAATATAATTTTATAACGTAATATATAAAAAAAAACGAATAAATAATATTTTTAAAATAATGAAATTTAATAAAGCACTGTAATTCAAGTTTTAAATATTTTTAATAATATTTGTATTTAGACATATGCTTATAATAAGACATGCTATTTATACATATATTTGATATATTTGTAAATATATTAATAACATTTAATATATTTTGAAAATGTAATACAAATATTAAAAATTCAATAAAGTAGTAGTGAAAAGTAATACAAGTAACTCAGTTTTTAATAAGAATGTAGTATATACGCACATGTGTGTGTGTTTATATATATATATATATATATAGTCCTTTTTTAAATTATTGATCAAATCTGTTTATATAATTAATAATAGTAAATAGAAATATTTATGTAATTTCCAGTCAAGCTGTAAAATCTTTAAAATGTCATTTCCAGCACAGAATGCTAAACATAATACATAATTTGTGGTATGGTTGAAATGTTCATGAACAAAAAATGACTTGCTGAGTCCCTTGTACTCAATACAGATTCAGTCCGAGGCACATCAGTGCAGAATCTGCTATGATAAGGTTGTACAACGGCTGGACGAGAGCGGCCCCATATGAATCTTTAAGGGTGGCAGATATCGGTGACGTTAACGTCAACCTCTTTGACCTGAAGGACACCTGCAAAAAAATACAAGAGGCTTACCGCGAAATTGTGGCCACTGGCTGCATTCCACTTACACTGGGTAAAAAAACATTTTCAATATGCAGGGATACACGGATCAGTTTTGAGTCTATTTTTAATATGTTACTTCTCCACTTCTTAGATTCCCAGGAGGTGATCATATAATTGCATACCCAATTCTACAAGCAGTTGCTGAGAGGTTGGTGCAAACACAATTTTGTGCTACTAACTAACATTTAGTCTGAAATACTGCTATTTCTGCTGTTCAGACATGGGCCAGTGGGCCTAATACATGTGGATGCCCATGCGGACACTAGTGGCATGATTCTGGGTGAGAAAATTGGTCATGGGACCCCTTTCAGGAGCTGTGTGGATGAGGGGCTCCTGGACTGCAAAAGGGTCATCCAGATCGGGCTCAGAGGCTCGGGTTTATCCTCCAGATGATTATGAGTGGAGCCGAGCACAGGTATCACAATGCTTTTACCAAAAATCATGCTCTATATAGGTGAGATATACAGTATATATATATATATATGGCCGGTGCTTCTTTCTCTCATATCACTCTGCTGACACGCAATTAATAAAATGTTATGTAAAAAATGTTTGTGTATTTTTAGAGTATTTGTATTTAGGCATATATAATAAAACGTCAACCTCTTTGACCTGAAGGACACCTGCAAAAAAATACAAGAGGCTTACCGCAAAATTATGGCCACTGGCTGCATCCCACTTACACTGGGTAAAAAAAGCATTTTCAATATGCAGGAATACACGGATCAGTTTTGAGTCTATTTTTAATATGTTACTTCTCCACTTCTTAGATTCCCAGGAGGTGATCATACAATTACATACCCAATTCAACAAGCAGTTGCTGAGAGGTTGGTGCAAACACAATTTTGCGATACTAACTCACATTTAGTCTGAAATACTGCTATTTCTGCTGTTCAGACATGGACCAGTGGGCCTAATACATGTGGATGCCCATGCGGACACTAGTGGCATGATTCTGGGTGAGAAAATTGGTCATGGGACCCCTTTCAGGCGCTGTGTGGATGAGGGGCTCCTGGACTGCAAAAGGGTCGTCCAGATCGGGCTCAGAGGCTCGGGTTTATCCTCCAGATGATTATGAGTGGAGTCGAGCACAGGTATCACAATGCTTTTACCAAAAATCATGCTCTATATAGGTGAGATATACAGTATATATATATATATATGGCCGGTGCTTCTTTCTCTCATATCACTCTGCTGACACGCAATTAATAAAATGTTATGTAAAAAATGTTTGTGTATTTTTAGAGTATTTGTATTTAGGCATATATAATAAAACGTATACTGTTTATACATTTATTTATTGCTCTTTCCAGGGTTTCCGTGTAGTGGAAGCTGTGGAGTGCTGGCACAAATCTCTTGTCCCACTCATGGAGGAGGTTCGCTCACAGATGGGAACCGGACCGGTCTATCTCAGCTTTGACATAGACAGTCTGGACCCTGCATTTGCTCCAGGCACAGGAACACCTGAGATTGCTGGCCTCACACCCATTCAGGTATGCTTTACCTGTCCAGGTCGGTCATCAGAGATGCTCAAATCTGCTCCTGGAGTTGAGCTGAAATTCCAAACACCACTGAACCAACTAATGAAGGCCTTTTGATTCACTTGATGCCAGTAATACTTCCACAAGAATGCATATAAACATAAGATTTACTGCACAATATGCAACCATATATAGAACAAATGGTTTGGAAAATGGACACACTATTAATCTGGCATACTGTACTATACGGTACAGATCATACGTAATTAAGGTGCAGCCGTTAGACTTTGCGTATGAAAGTTTAATCTTAACCTTAGGGGATAGTTAAAAGCATACTTAAAGACAGGGATGTGGCTTATTTGAAGAATAATGTATTTTGAAATTTGCTTTCAGGGTCTGGAAATCATTCGAGGTTGTCGAGGTCTTAATCTTGTAGGCTGTGATTTAGTTGAGGTCTCTCCACCTTATGACACCACAGGTACTGTTTTACATTGGGAAAATATGTCATTTAATGCGAAAGACTTGAATAATTCAGAATATTTCAATCAATATTTTCTCAGGAAACACTGCTTTGACTGTGGCTAACCTTATTTTTGAGATGATGTGTGTCCTTCCGAAAGTCAAATATTATTGATTGCTTTATTTTTCTACATCAGTGGAACATCTTAAATAATTGCACAGTGACTTTAATACATGATTTATGTACAAAATCAGTATTAATATTATTTTCAGCAAAAAAAAAAGTCAGTTTATGAACACAATAAAGAAAATTCATGTGGATGTAGAAATAACTTTCGGAAAAGTACAGGTAATGAGTGGAGGACAGAGGAGCCTCTTAAAGAAGAAGTTACAGGTCTGTGAGGGCCAGAAATCTTGCTTGTTTGTAGGTGACCAAATACTTATTTTACCGAGGACTTTACCAATTAATTCTTTAAAAATCCTACAATGTGATTTTCTGGATTTTTTTTCTCATTTTGTCTCTCATAGTTGAGGTATACCTATGATGAAAATTACAGGCCTCTCTCATCTTTTTAAGTGGGAGAACTTGCACAATTGGTGGCTGACTAAATACTTTTTTGCCCCACTGTATATGGCCGGTGCTTCTTTCTCTCATATCACTCTGCTGACACGCAATTAATAAAATGTTATGTAAAAAAATTTGTATTTAGGCATATATAATAAAACATATACTGTTTATACATTTATTTATTGCTCTTTCCAGGGTTTCCGTGTAGTGGAAGCTGTGGAGTGCTGGCACAAATCTCTTGTCCCACTCATGGAGGAGGTTCGCTCACAGATGGGAACCGGACCGGTCTATCTCAGCTTTGACATAGACAGTCTGGACCCTGCATTTGCTCCAGGCACAGGAACACCTGAGATTGCTGGCCTCACACCCATTCAGGTATGCTTTACCTGTCCAGGTCTGCTCCTGGAATTGAGCTGAAATTCCAAACACCACTGAACCAACTAATGAAGGTCTTTTGATTCACTTGATGCCAGTAATACTTCCACAAGAATGCATATAAACATAAGATTTACTGCACAATATGCAACCATATATAGAACAAATTGTTTGGAAAATGGACACACTATTAATCTGGCATACTGTACTATACGGAACAGATCATGCGTAATTAAGATGCAGCCAAGAGCAGCCGTTAGCGCCGTTATACTTTGCGCATGAAAGTTTAATCTTAACCTTAGGGGATGGTTAAAAGCATACTTAAAGACAGGGATGTGGCTTATTTGAAGAATAATGTATTTTGAAATTTGCTTTCAGGGTCTGGAAATCATTCGAGGTTGTCGAGGTCTTAATCTTGTAGGTTGTGATTTAGTTGAGGTTTCTCCACCTTATGACACAGGTACTGTTTTACATTGGGAGAATATGTCATTTAATGCGAAAGACTTGAATAATTCAGAATATTTCGATTTCCCATCTTTTGAATCAATTTTTTCTCAGGAAACACTGCTTTGACTGGGGCTAACCTTATTTTTGAGATGATGTGTGTCCTTCCGAAAGTCAAATATTATTGATTGCTTTATTTTTCTACATCAGTGGAACATCTTAAATAATTGCACAGTGACTTTAATACATGATTTATGTACAAAATCAGTATTAATATTATTTTCAGCAAAAAAAAAAGTCAGTTTATGAACACAATAAAGAAAATTCATGTGGATGTAGAAATAACTTTCGGAAAAGAAAAAAAAATCACAAAACTATGTATTTGATCATTTAGTTTTTGAACAGATTAATAAATAAACTAGATTACATAATACAGTGTTAATTATTTTGCACCACAGACATCAATACATTTAATCAAACAGAGTTAATAAGCCATGAAAATTTGGCATGATTTAATGCTATCTTAAATTTAAGATATTTACCAGTGCATTGCAAAACACAAATAAAATGCTAATATAGTACAATGACACAAATACCGCATCATCAGTTATAAAGTATATGAATGTTCACTGAACACCATATGAATAAAGTAATATTATTCATCACTCAAAATGCGTCAGCAATGGAAGACTTCATATAGGAGTGGATTTAACTCACCCACACCTTTATGTGCATATGCAATAGCTAATCAAATAATGCATTAACCACTAAATCCTGCTAACAAAATGAAACATCCCAGTATAAAGGAGACCAATGGTTTTCTACAGCAAACATGAAATGCATAGTACAAGATACTTCAGATCAAGTATGTATTATTTCTTCTCTTTGTACTGTTGAGAATGTTTTGCATGCCACAGCACATATTTAATGATAGAACACAAATGAAAACTATAAAGGTCTCTGGCACTATTTGTCATTCTTTAAGGCTTTACCTGCTCATTTAATAGCTGCACTATATAGCTGAATGTGACTTGTAAAGGTCAATAAAGAGCTGTTACACCCTTTACTTACACTATCAATCTGGTAAGAACGTCTGGAATCTTTCCTATATTTTAGAGACACAACCCTATATTACATTATTACATATACATTTAATATTACGTAACTATTTACACTGAAGCACAGTTTGTGTTTGATGGGTATTGCTGTAAAGTTATGCCAGCTGTGTTAAAGTTTGTACCATGCACAAAAAAAGTGACTAAACCTAAACCGTTTTCTTTAGATACTGAACTGATGAAGCTACAGTCCTTAATTTGTTGAAAGTTTAAGTGAACAAAGGTATATAGCTAAAATCCATATTTTCACCACTGTTTAGAAAGAAAAAAAATTGTATGGTCAAATTATTGAAAATAATTAAAAATGGTCATTTCCAAATGGTAGCTTTTCATAACGAGTTGTTAAAGAGCCAATTTTTTTAAAAACATTTTAGAATGTATTTTTTGGTATGGAATTGCAAGTAAAACATATTATAAAATGGTTCATTTCTTTAACATTAGTTAAAATGAGTTTAACAATAAACCACAATTTTGAAATAATAAAAATGTGGTAGTATATGTACTTTGGAAATATGCATTATCCAATGATTAATAAATGCTGCGAAAGCATTTAATTTACTGCATTGACTAAAGTTAACATACTGTATATAACCTTACTGTAAAGTGTTTGCAAAAAAGTTATAATATTGCACTTTCTAGATCAAGAGGGTTAAATTAAAGGGGGGGAAAAAAAACATTCACAGCATTGTCATGAGTAAACATAGGACTAAAAGTCTACAGTGATCATGTTTGTTATGCTACGTTATGTTTTTAACCCTTATGACTGGTTTTGTGGTCGGTCCAGGGTCACATTTATTGGATTTATCCAAACGTAATATGTATAACGAAAGAACCTGGATGTGCTGGAGGTGTGTGGCGAACCATTCTCAGCCTTGGATGCCTCTTTTGCTTTCGTTTTAGGCTGTTTTTCCTCACTTGAGTCACTGAAATTGGAAACCGCATTGTTTAATGTTTCTGCATTTCCCGTCTAACACATCAGAATTATGAATGCAATAAAACTTACCTGAAAGCCTGAATAACTACAGTGCCAAATAAAATAAAAAGTGCAGAGAATATCAAAGACAGTAGGGGCATCATCTCACGCCTACAAAATGAATGAAAAATAACTTAATAGAGCATTAAATATCAAAAATATTGCTGACCAAACCCAACTTAAAGGGGTCATAGGATGCTACATGCACTTTTACAAGTTGTTTGAACTGAAATGCGTGTTGGCAGTGTGTGTACACAACCACCCTATAATGATAAAAATCCACCCAGTGTTTTTTTTTTAATCTGGTTAAATGTTTTCCCCTTTCTCAAATCGAGCCGATCTCAGATGCCTGTCTGTGTGACGTCACACAGACAGGCCCCTCCCACAATAGTTTGATTGACAGTAGCGTTTCAGCACAGACTGGACTGGCGTCTTACCTTAGCGGTCTAAGCTAAGCGGTGAGCGGTCATCAGTCCGCTATTGTTTCACCGCTGGAGCAGATGTAGACAAGAATTACTCCTAAGCGCTTGAGGTGTTCTGTTGTTGGATGTAATAATGAACAGCAGTAGTCATTTACTCTCGACATCTGAGCTGTTGAACTCGCAGTGGATTACGTTGTTTCTGAAGGGAATGCGCCCCCGATCTACATAAATGTGTCTATGTTCGCGCGAATCATTCATGATCCAGCCTCATCTACAGAAGAAGTGAGTATAATGTTTTGTAATGAATCTTTGCAAATTTTTTTTACAAAAAAAAAAAAAAAAAAAAAAACGTGATTTGGAATAGCAAAACAGTGTCATATTGTCACAGTTTATGAACACAATAAAGAAAATTCATGTGGATGTAGAAATAACTTTCGGAAATGAAAAAAAAAATCACAAAACTATGTATTTGATCATTTAGTTTTTGAACAGATTAATAAATAAACTAGATTACATAATACAGTGTTAATTATTTTGCACCACAGACATCAATACATTTAATCAAACAGAGTTAATAAGCCATGAAAATTTGGCATGATTTAATGCTATCTTAAATTTAAGATATTTACCAGTGCATTGCAAAACACAAATAAAATGCTAATATAGTACAATGACACAAATACCGCATCATCAGTTATAAAGTATATGAATGTTCACTGAACACCATATGAATAAAGTAATATTATTCATCACTCAAAATATGTCAGTAATGGAAGACTTCATATAGGAGTGGATTTAACTCACCCACACCTTTATGTGCATATGCAATAGCTAATCAAATAATGCATTAACCACTAAATCCTGCTAACAAAATGAAACATCCCAGTATAAAGGAGACCAATGGTTTTCTACAGCAAACATGAAATGCATAGTACAAGATACTTCAGATCAAGTATGTATTATTTCTTCTCTTTGTACTGTTGAGAATGTTTTGCATGCCACAGCACATATTTAATGATAGAACACAAATGAAAACTATAAAGGTCTCTGGCACTATTTGTCATTCTTTAAGGCTTTACCTGCTCATTTAATAGCTGCACTATATAGCTGAATGTGACTTGTAAAGGTCAATAAAGAGCTGTTACACCCTTTACTTACACTATCAATCTGGTAAGAACGTCTGGAATCTTTCCTATATTTTAGAGACACAACCCTATATTACATTATTACATATACATTTAATATTACGTAACTATTTACACTGAAGCACAGTTTGTGTTTGATGGGTATTGCTGTAAAGTTATGCCAGCTGTGTTAAAGTTTGTACCATGCACAAAAAAAGTGACTAAACCTAAACCGTTTTCTTTAGATACTGAACTGATGAAGCTACAGTCCTTAATTTGTTGAAAGTTTAAGTGAACAAAGGTATATAGCTAAAATCCATATTTTCACCACTGTTTAGAAAGAAAAAAAATTGTATGGTCAAATTATTGAAAATAATTAAAAATGGTCATTTCCAAATGGTAGCTTTTCATAACGAGTTGTTAAAGAGCCAATTTTTTTAAAAACATTTTAGAATGTATTTTTTGGTATGGAATTGCAAGTAAAACATATTATAAAATGGTTCATTTCTTTAACATTAGTTAAAATGAGTTTAACAATAAACCACAATTTTGAAATAATAAAAATGTGGTAGTATATGTACTTTGGAAATATGCATTATCCAATGATTAATAAATGCTGCGAAAGCATTTAATTTACTGCATTGACTAAAGTTAACATACTGTATATAACCTTACTGTAAAGTGTTTGCAAAAAAGTTATAATATTGCACTTTCTAGATCAAGAGGGTTAAATTAAAGGGAGAGAAAAAAACATTCACAGCATTGTCATGAGTAAACATAGGACTAAAAGTCTACAGTGATCATGTTTGTTATGCTACGTTATGTTTTTACTTGCAGCATGTTGCAATGTTATTCGTGGAGCGGAAATGTTTAAAATCGAAAGCTAGGCTAGCTGTATTGATATTTTGGCTCTATTTTGAGCCTTTTGAAATAAATACCGAAGACCCAAACTGACTGTAAAGCCCTCCATTAGAGCAGCTCAAGAAAACATTTCCAAGAAGTCAGCATCAGTGTCGATTCAAGTACTTCAAACACTTTCCTTTCCTCCGCAATGCAAAACTAAAGACGCTTCTTCAAAGTCTTACATATAATCGTCTCGTGAGCATCTGGCTCTGAGCAGCATCAAGCCTGGTTTCTCTGAGGCCTTCAGTGCTTCTAATCCAGCTGCTCTAGCAAAAGCATGTTACCTTCAATGAGGCTTCATTTATTGACAGTGATCTTGTCCAGACCGGGCCAGGATGGGACGTAGTACCGGGGCAGCGTCCCTTCCATCAGTCGCTCTATCCAGAGTCCGAGTCGATCCAGTTTGTGGTGGATCTGAAGACTTGTGGACCGAGAGCGTGTCATGCCCTTCCTGTACCGGGAACCTCCTCCTTCCTCTTCCGGCTTGCTATCCAAATCTTCACCTGTGTAGACTGGCTTGAAAAGGCACAGGTATTTCTTATGGCCATTGAGGGCTAGAACATAGCCTGTGTAGTCTACTTTGCGGATGCCCACTTCTTCCTCATCTGTGTCGATCTGCATGGCGTCCTGAGCATATTCCAACACGGCCGCCATCCATTCGCTGTGTTTATCCACATTTAGGAAGGAGAAGTGCAACGTCAAACTCCTACGAGGAAGAGGAAACATTATATATCTTTTTTAGACATCGTGACTGCAGGGTACAGCGTGCAATGAGGGCTCACCCAGTGAACGAATAAACTTCCTTGGCAAATTTGCTGAGCAGGATGTTCTTTGTGGAATCAGTAAGTACCAGAACTACATTGATGTGACCCGGCCTCAACTTCACCAGGTTACTAGTGTATGTAATGTCGGTTAACTCTGTCACCTCCACAAAGTTTTTCTTTGGTGGGCGACTGCTGGGGGAAAAAAACATTTTTTTTAAATGAGAGTATATAATACTATAATAAATTAGGGATGCATCAATATAAAATAATTATTTGTTATTTATTTATTATTATTATTTTACGCTATTTTTATAGCTGATAACAAATGACTGATATTATTAAATTTGAAATTTTTATATTATTGTATATTTATTATAAATAAATTGTATAAATAATCTCAACATAAAATGAGCATGCACAAATAAATATCCAGTATTGTTTTAAAATAAAACTAATATCCAATAAATAAAATGGTACTGATACATTTGTGCATCATTAAAAGAGATGAAGGTCTGTGGAATTTATTTGTGACCCTGGAGCACAAAACCAGTCTTAAGTCGCTGGGGTATATTTGTAGCAATAGCCAAGAATCATATCAACTTGTGGAAAATAGGCATCCTATGACCCCTTTAACAGTTGTTGCCTTTCGCCACTAAGAGATATTTCGTAAAACCTGAATTAAAATCAGTAACAAACAGGGATAGAGCTTAGGGTCAATTGCCATTTTATTCACTTACCAGTTATTGTGAAGAAGATCATCGATAATTTCAGATAAGTAGTCATATGCTGTGTAAATCCATCTTATTAAAAACATCTAAAAACAAACAAATGTACAAAATTTAGCTCCAAAACACTATTTGGACATGAAACACAATCTAGAGCTCTACTGAAACAGGCATATAGGTCAGTGCTAATTTCCCAATTAAAGACACCCCGTGAAAAGCAAACCCTGAGAGACTCACTGAGGTGAACTCATTGTTGAGCTCTGGGAGAACAGCGTCACAGTTAAGGATGGAGGGATGCTTTTGCAGTCTTTCAAGTTCCTCCAGGAGCTTGTGTTTGTCTTCCTTACTGCCATTCCATCCTCCCAAAACTGGCTTATACAGAATCTTACCAGCTCCGTTACGCCTCTCCAGAATCACCACCTGCTCAATACACACAAAAGTCTCTTCGGGTTACACTCTAAAGTTCCACCAATAGTGGATTTTGCCAATTTCGATAACTTCAATGGGAAAACAAGCCAATTGAAGTCATTTTTATCATTGTCGGGAAGTGTGTTGCTGATTAAAAAAAACATATTGCTATAAAAACACATTCAAACACATAATTGCATATGCAAATATCATCATTAAACAAACATAAACAACACACAATGGGTTCTGGCCAAATTCCGAGGTCGGACCCCTCCCCTCGAACAGCACGCCAACTACGCATAACCTTTACTCTATTTATTATATGTAAGTGTGAACTTGTGAAACAAAAATGCAGGGAGAAGATAACATCTACCTGTGGTGGTGTGCTGTCTTTGTTCTTTAAGAGAACATCACATAGGGGCTGCTGACGTCGCTGGTAGACGTAAGCAAACCGAAGCACATCATTAGTGCTGGTAGAGGCTAGCGAGAGGAAGGCTTCATTCCCTGTTGCAAAGGACTCTTCCTCACCGGTGATGAGTAGAATGCAATATCTGTGGAAAAGACATTGCAGACTTTTGGAAATGACCCTTTAACATCAGATTACTGATTTTTACACAGCCATCTTACTTCCTACGACGATGGAACTGTTTGACAGGGCAAAGCTCATCAAATAGCTTCTGGTTTACCAGACGAGGAGCCAGGAGGAACTTGTTATTGGAGATGAAGTCATCTATTATCTGCTTCTTCATCCCTTTAGCCTGAGGAAGCAAATTGTTAATTGAAAGTCAAAGGTAAACATATTTATCTCTTCTCAAACATCTCATATGACCATGGTTTTCCAAGCAAGATTCTTCCGTCATTTGTTGGTCCTGGAACAACATTCCTGTCAAACACGCATATTAAAACAAATATGAACAACTAAAGCGAGATGTCACTGAAGCCCCAACCTGATTGGTTGTTGTTGTTTCAGGACCAATAAGGATGTTGATGCAGGACCTTCTAAGACCAGGATCCAGGACCCGCCTTATTACAAAATTAACAATGACTTACCCTGAAAATGTTTTGTAATAATTTAGAAAAATTTAATAAAAATCCAAATGGAACCAAAATGTAACACTTTATAAAAAAAAAACCAAATAACATAAATAAAAAGTTGCATACAAAATTAATCAAAGAATCCTCCAAATAGCACAACTTAATCTGAACATAAATAGGTGAAACATCAACTATACTTGTTGATTTTTGCCAGAAACAGACTTTATCCAATCAATACGGTCTACAGTACAGTAGTCAAGGGAACAGGTTTACCTGTATTATATCTGCAGGCTTCTCCACGTCCTCTTTGAAGACAAGCATGGTTGGCGCATAAGTATTGATGTTGAATTTTCTCAGCAGGTCAGTGGTTTCAGAAAGACCTTGATCAACGTATCCAAACTGCACATAATCCTTATAGGCAAATGCTGTAAGCTATTAGAAACAAACAAAAAAATTAAATCATTGGTGTATTGGCTGAACAATGGCAATTCTGGAGGTTACTAAGCAATCTCTACCTTATAAAGCAGAGGAACCGAAGGCACTTGGTCAAACAGGAGGACATGTGGCTTGTTCAGCTCATGCCAGCTCTTCAGAAACTCTTGGTTGTTCTTGTCTGTAACCTATAGACATCCATAAATGAGAAGTCTGTGACCAGAAGATATAAATATAGACATTGGGAATGCATGATGACGTTCACTAACCTTTTCAACTAGTCTCTGTGGCAGCAAATCTTCTATGAACTGCATCAGGTGGCCTTTAACAACAGCGTAATGGAAGAAAGCCACTTTTCCATTGACGACACCAAGAATGGATGGAGTCTGATGTGCACCCAAATGATTTGCTAAACGCCGCTCGTAACCAACATCAACCACACCAATTCCAATCCCTAGAGATGAGAAAATCAAATTCTTACATGGAGGAAGTCAACTTCACAAACTAATTTCAACCTAAGTAAGGTAAGGTCATATCACTAACTGGGACGTGACATGTAAGCATTTCTAATAATGATAATAATAATAATAATACATTTTATTTATAATGCGCTTTTCTCACACCCAAAACGCTACAACAATGTAAAAAAACAATTAAAATACAAAATACAATGATACAATATAAAACAGCAAAATAAATAAAATAAAAACCCTAATCAACAGCTTAATCATGATAAGCAATTTTAAAGAGGTGGGTTATCAACAGTTTCTTAAAAGTACTTAGTGTAGGAGCACTTCAAATATTAAAGGAAGCGCATTCCATAACCTCAGAGCAGCCCGAGAGAAGGCTCTCTGTCCCATAGTTTTTAATCTGGAGTGGGGCTGATAAAGAAGAGAATCAGCAGAGCGAAGAGGACGAGAAGGCATGTAAGGGGTATCTAAATCACAAACATAAGAAGGAGCCAATTCATGCACAGCTTTAAAGGTTAAAACAAGCGTTTTATACTCAATGCGTGATTGAACTGGAAGCCAGTGCAAGTTACAGAGGACACCACTGATGTGCTGCCGTGAGGCTGTGTGAGTGAGAACACGTGCTGCTGAGTTCTGAATATATTATAGCCGTTTGACAGAGTTTGCTGATAAACCAATGTAGAGAATTGCAGTAATCAATTCTTGAAGCATGGATGAGCCTTTGAGTATCAGGTGTAGAAAGGAAAGGCCTAATCCTAGCAATATTTCTGAGATGATAAAATGCTGATTTAGTAACACTCCTAATGTGAGTCACACCAAGGTTACGAGCTTGTATAGACAGCTGTACAGAGCTGTTATCCAGTGTCAGATTAAAACTGTTACATTTGAGGATGGCTGCTGGTGTGCCAATAAGAAGAACCTCAGTCTTAGAGCTATTTAATTTTAGAAAGTTGCGAAGCATCCATACTTTTATGTCCTGCAAACATTCAGAAAGGATTGCAGAACAAACTGTAACATCGGACTTTGAACTGATGTATATTTGGGTATCGTCAGCATAAAAATGATACCCAAGACCATGTTTTCTAATGATTTGCCCCAGAGGAAGCATATAAATGCTAAATAATATGGGCCCCAAAACAGAACCCTGAGGGACACCATATTGGACCTGACTAATATCTCATTTGTTATTTCCCAGAACAACAAACTGCGATCTATTTGTAAGCTAGGATCTGAACCAATTAAGCACAGTGCCAGAGATACCGAGCCAACTCTTTAGTCTATCAAGTAATATAGAGTGACATACTGTCAAATGCTGCACTCAGGTCTAACAAAACCAAAATGGTAGAGGCACCAGAGTCAGCTGAGACCAGGAGGTCGTTCATAACGCGAACCAAAGCGGTCTCAGTACTGTGCCCTGGCCTAAACCCAGATTGGAAAGGCTCTAAAAGGTTGTTTAATGACAAATGAGAATGTAAATGCGCCAAAACAACACGTTCCAGGACTTTAGCCAGAAAAGGAAGATTTGAAATGGGCCTGTAATTTGTTAGATCAGAGGTATCATATCCTGCCCTAAGCCCATTTGTATACCAAGGAGATGATTTCGTGAATGAGACACGTTCCTTCATAGGAGCAAGGATATCCAAGGTAGATGATAAAATGGAACTGTAGTCATCAACAGTATAACTTGTTGGATGCTCAGAAATCAGACGTGAGAAACTATCAGGATCAATATTCTTAACATTCCTAAACCTAATTACTCTCTTCTGATAAGATGATCATGTAGAAGAGACCGGTATATTAAAAGTAAGAAGCTTATGGTCACTAATACAAGTCTCATGGTTATCAAGCTGTTTGATGTCAACGCCAACAGAACACACCAGATCTAGTATGTGACCTTTGTTATGGGTAGGAAAATTAACATGCTGGGTTAAGTTAAAAAAATCAGAAAATCAACAATTCTAGAAAATAGAACGTACTCACCTAGAGTTTCCAATTCCTGCACTGTTTCTTTCCAGACTGGCTCGAAATGGATGCAGCTGAAACACCTGTCTGAGGTTATCTTGATCAAGTAAGGCCTCTTGAAGCTGTCAGGAACAACTTCATTGACATACTGTTTGAAATGCAACATGTACTTGCTGTTAGCAAAATCCCGGCCACCCTTATTGTTGAAGGGAAAGTCGAAGAAAGACTCATCAAAGTAGAAGTTGTCATGAAAGTGGCGGAAACCATGATGGCCACGTCCATACGGATGAGCGTTATCTGTTTGTCCATAGCGATCGTAGCTGGCTTTCTTCTCCTCGTTTGTTAAGATCTATGGAGTAACATGTAACAAGTTAATTTTAGCGTTACTTCTGACAACATGTGATCTGTTCAGAGTCTATATGAGCTGCAGTACCTCATAAGACTTTGTAATCTTGATGAACATGTCTTCTGCTTCAGGATTTTTGTTTTTATCAGGATGCCTGACAGGAGAAATGAAAGAGGACCATGGTGTGCCATTCTTATTTAGACAACATGAAATTACATCAATATTCTTAACATTCCTAAACCTAATTACTCTCTTCTGATAAGATGATCATGTAGAAGAGACCGGTATATTAAAAGTAAGAAGCTTATGGTCACTAATACAAGTCTCATGGTTATCAAGCTGTTTGATGTCAACGCCAACAGAACACACCAGATCTAGTATGTGACCTTTGTTATGGGTAGGAAAATTAACATGCTGGGTTAAGTTAAAAAAAATCAGAAAATCAACAATTCTAGAAAATAGAACGTACTCACCTAGAGTTTCCAATTCCTGCACTGTTTCTTTCCAGACTGGCTCGAAATGGATGCAGCTGAAACACCTGTCTGAGGTGATCTTGATCAAGTAAGGCCTCTTGAAGCTGTCAGGAACAACTTCATTGACATACTGTTTGAAATGCAACATGTACTTGCTGTTAGCAAAATCCCGGCCACCCTTATTGTTGAAGGGGAAGTCGAAGAAAGACTCATCAAAGTAGAAGTTGTCATGAAAGTGGCGGAAACCATGATGGCCACGTCCATACGGATGAGCGTTATCTGTTTGTCCATAGCGATCGTAGCTGGCTTTCTTCTCCTCGTTTGTTAAGATCTATGGAGTAACATGTAACAAGTTAATTTTAGCGTTACTTCTGACAACATGTGATCTGTTCAGAGTCTATATGAGCTGCAGTACCTCATAAGACTTTGTAATCTTGATGAACATGTCTTCTGCTTCAGGATTTTTGTTTTTATCAGGATGCCTGACAGGAGAAATGAAAGAGGACCATGGTGTGCCATTCTTATTTAGACAACATGAAATTACAGTAGTATTACAATTTACAAAAATAGCACTCTCACCATTCTTTGGCCAAGCGTTTGTACACTTTCTTGATTTCTGCTTGGCTTGCACTTCTAGTGACTCCGAGAACCTTATATGGATCAAATTCTGCAGTGCTTTCCACCGTAGCATCCATAAGGAGCACACAGACCATCATCACAGAGAGCAATACCACCACCATCCTCATCATGTGTTCTTCTACCCGAAGACTATCAAAGTAATGACATTATGGAGGAAATACTTAAAGAATGAATGCATATTTAATTATAAAAATAAATTAATATATGTAAAGTATATAAGTAAATTAATTTCTAATGAAAATAAATTGAACGAAATATGAAGGAACAATAGCTAAATAAACAAATAAATCTAAACATTTAATAATTTTATTTTTTACTAAATAAAAACTAACCATAAATACCAAAAATGTGAAGGGTAAATAGATAAATGTGTACATAAATGAAGGAATCAAATATATCCATTGTTACGTTTTTGGTATTTGAAATTTACTTCAATAAACTTCAAATATAAATATTAGATGAAAAATGTTGCCTTAACTGAAATAAGTTCAAACTATTAAATACAATTAAAAAAATTAAAATATAATAAAGGTATTAATAATAATTATAATAGTATATAAATAATTCAATTCTAACACTGAATATATCTATAAATAAAGAGTATTCCTAAGTATGGGTCTGGTTTTAATGTCATGTTTGGTCTTCAGTGTTATTATCTAACTGCCTTCGCCAGATGCCAAATAAAATAAAACCTAACAATCCTGACTGTTCAACGATATTAAAATCAAATATGTCCATTGCATATGCTGAAAGCTGCCATGCAAAATACTGAAGTTTTTCTTACGGATGTCAGTGACATGCTAGTCACGTTTGGACTATTACAGAAAACCCCGACATAAAGCGCATTCAATGACAAGAGAAAATAACCTTTAAATCCTGCTTTGAGGGCAATAATAAAGCAGGACATGCAGATAAAATGACATCTGACGATTGTGAAACACCCTTAGCTAGTCTGTTAGCCAACCTAGCTCATGCTTTTATCACGAATATGACATCAAAACGAGAGGAGACCATTACAACATGAATGGATTATGAATATACCGCTACTAATGGTGACAGAAGTTCATCCATCCATCTGAGTGACGCGTTCATAAACCATAATCATTGCGTATTAATATTAGCAGAGATTCACAGCGGCACAAACATCCCCTCTCTCTCTCTCTCTCTCTCTCTCTCTCTCTCTCTTTCTCTTTCTCTGGTTATAGTGAATGAGTTTGGCTTTTAATTGGTAATGCAACTTATTGTGTCTTTTATAACAGACAAGTAGGAATGTACAGTGTAATGTTTGATGTTTATTGTGAATGAGAATATATGTATTTAAAGTTTTTAATTTTGTGTAGAATAAAGGGTTTGTAAAAGTCAAAAGTCTCTCTCTCTCTCTCTCTCAATTCAATTCAATTCAATTCAATATGTGCTTTATTGGCATGACAATTGTTACAATGTATTGCCAAAGCATAGTGTTTACATTGAATCTAGAACAGATTTATATGCAACAATAACATGCATGTATATACATTTAAAAAGTAGAACAAATCAACATTTTTGAATTCTACGAACAATTTAGTGGTGTGTGTGTGTGTGTGTGCTGGTTTATATATCCTGGTGGGGACTTAAACCTGAATACACACAGACTCATGGGGACTCGTGTCACGGTGGGGACCTAAATTGTGGTCCCCATGGGTACAAAAGCTTATAAATCATACAGAATTAAGTTTTTTGAAAATCTAAAAATGCAGAAAGTTTCCTGTAAGGGGTAGGTTTAGGGGTAGGGTTGGTGTAGGGCAATAGAATATACGGTCTGTACAGTAGAAAAACCATTACGCCTATGGAGAGTCCCCACAAGGATAGCTGACCAGACTGTGTATGTGTGTGTGTGTACCTGGTATTTATCACGTTATGGGGACCAAATGTCCCCACAAGGATAGTAATACTAGTAAATGTTGACCTTGTGGGGACATTTTTGAGGTCCCCATGAGGAAACAAGCTTATAAATCATACAAGTTTCCTGTAAGGGGTAGGTTTAGGGGTAGGGTTGGTGTAGGGCAATAGCACATACAGTTTGTACAGTATAAAAACCATTACGTCTATGGAATGTCCTCATAAAACATGGAAACACAACATGTGTGTGTGTGGTGTGCAGGCAAGGATTAACGCACAGGCTTGCTTAGGCTGCAGCCTAGGGGCCCCACGTTTGCAGGGGCCTCGGATTGGCCAGACTGTTTTTTTATTATTATTATTTGAAATTTACTTCAGCGTGAACAAAAAAGACCCTCACTTGTCCATAAGAATTCGTTGCAGAGCGTCTGACAATATTAATGTCTTGTATTGTAGAATGCACGCCCAGCACCGCTGAGAGTTCGTGCAATCCTTAAATCGAAACCGAAAGTAAAACGCGCGCACGCATTCAAAAGCGATTCTAATACCCCGCGTTTTGAGAGCGACTCTCTGATGCGCGCAAATTAGGCTACATAACATATATAGGCTGTTATTAGTATGTAGGCTATAATAGGTTGTGCAGTTGTCTATAGCTCTGTGTCATGCTTGAAAAATGTGGTCTCTATTTGCACTTTGAATATTGAGAGTAGCCTATCTGATTATGGCTGCACTTATTGTTTGCACTTAATACAGCTAAGAAAGAACTGTGTTGTTTATTTTTGGTTATTTATACTGTTTTTATTTCTATGTTCAATTTGTGAAAAGGAGTTCAGTTAGGAGGTCAGAAGTTCTAATTTAATTTATGTACAGTTTTAAGGTCTGAAGAGATTCAAAAGAAATCATCCAGTGTTGTACATGTACAATGACCAACACTCAGAACCAAGTTGAAGAGTTTCATTATGACCAATCGGAATTTGTGATTTGTATTTGTCCAGGTGTTTCCATTCAGTATAGTTATTTCTTCATGGTTCTTTTTATTTAGAAGATTCCAGTTGTCCCAAAAACTGTTTGAATGGACAGACTATTCAATTGTTTTCAGTTGATTTAGGATGTACTGTTCTTTCTTCTTTTAGAGTGTATTTTTATATTTTTTAAGCTCTTCGTAATAAAGAAGGCGTACATCTGAACTGTCTGGTTGTCTGTGTTTTTGATTTGCAAGCTGTCTTAAATTTTTCCTTATTCTTTTACAATCCAAATCAAACCATTTTTCGTTCTCTTGTTTTTGCTTATGAGTTTTCTTAGTGGTTTTAAGATTAGATATTGTTGCCAAATAATCAAATATGTAATTTATGTTTTTTTACAGCTAGATTTACGCCATATTCATTATGAGGATAAATGTTATCCATAAGTAAACACATTTGGGGGTGGTCAAATTGCAGTCAGGTATTTTTCAGTGCTGATTTGGACCCATGTGTAATTTTTTCTAATATTGTACAGCTTACTGGGTTGTGGATGTATGTTAGTATTTTCTTTCCTTTTTTAAATACACAGTTATTTGACTGTGATCTGATAGAGGTGTTAGTGGTTTGACCGTGAATGCTTTGAAAGAGAATAAATCTAGATCTGTGATCATGTAAGCAACTGTTGAGCAACCATGAAATGAACCGTAGGTGTATCTTCCAAGAGAGTCCCCTTTCACCCTGCCATTGACGAGGCACAGACCGATGCTTCGACAGAGCTCCATCAGAAGCTTCCCGCTTTTACTTATTTGGGAATCTGAGTTATTCCTTGGAAAAATTACAATGTTTTGTTGAAAGCTCTGTCCAAATATATAATTATTCCCACTGGCTGTGGTGTAGTCAGGTAGGGATCCTGTTCTGGCTTTGGGATCCCCACACACCAGCTCACTTCCCTGGGCCTGGAAGTGGTAGATTTGACTGTAGAGGGTCTCAAAGACGTTTTCATTATAGTAAGGAGATTCAGAGGGAGGAATATAAAGAGCACATAAGAATATATCTTTCGTAGTTTGATTGAGTTGATTATCAATTTTGAGCCAGATATGAAATTCTTCTTTTTTCATTATTTGGATGTATTTAGCAATTTCAAGCTTGTACCAAATGATTGTGCCCCCTGAATATGTCCCGCGTGTCATTTTTGTATGTTTTTGGGACGATATGGATATTTCATGATATCCTGGAGGACAGAGAGTGACCTCATCAGTTCTGCGCCATGTTTCCTGTAGTATTATTATGTCTATGTCTAAAACACTCTTCTTAAAATCCAGGGTCTTGGTTTTACATCCCAGACTGGATGAGTTAATGCCCTGAATGTTCCACAGTGTGATTGTCAGTGGTTTCATGGGGTCAATAAAAAATAGAATAGAACCAACCCAGCTTGAACCAGTTGATTTTTTTTGTACATTATGTAGACATTTATTTATTTATGCTGTATAATTATGCAGTGTAGTTGTTCAGTCCAGTGTTTTTTACTCTGCACGACTAGTCCATCAGCCGCGTGCAGATTAAGTTGAGCATGTCCTTGATCTCCGTTAGATTGGTGCTGTGGGTGTCATTTGGGCCTTTTAGGGCTGCAGCTTAGCTCCGTTGCTCCTGCTGCTCTGGCTGTGGAACAGGCTTCTGCTCTGTCTAGGTGTTGCTTCTCTGGGTCCTGGGTCCTGGCTGTTTTTTCAGCTGCTGGTATGGTGGCACAAGGTCTGGATTCTCTGTTGCTCTCTGAGGGACTGTCAGGTGTTCTGCCAAGGGCAACATCTTTAAGATTTTTTAGCAAACACATTCACAATGTCTTTACGTAGGTTACGTAGATCTTTCTGATGTTGTGCAATGCAAACCTGCAAGATCGAGCAGTCTTTGCAATGTGGTCTTTGAAGGTCAGCTGGTCATCAAAGGTTACACCAAGATTTCTGACCGAAGTTGATGGGGTAATTGTAGAAGAAGCTGGATGGTGAAATAATTTTCAATGTTGGGAAAGTATGTGTTGCTTTAATTGCCACTTGTGTAACTGACTGTGCCACTCGTTCCTGTTTTGTCCTCAGGTCGTTTGTCCCTACGTGTATGAGGATGTGGCTGGGATCACCAAGTTTTTCTTTGTTGTTGAAGGGCACTCTCTGTTTTCGGGGCACCAAAGTTTTAATGTTTTGTGGTTGGGAAAGAGCTGCTTTTCATTGATAAATCTCCAATTTGAGTCCATTAAAATAACTATTTCTGCATTTCTGGATGTGCTTTCTTGATCTCTGTGGTGTTTGGGGTATATCTGTGCTGTATATCTGATCAGCTCTTCCCTGATGCTTTTCAGCTCATTGTTCAGGTTCTTGTTGCCTTGTTGCAGTTTTTTAATGTGTCCTCTCAACTCCTCAACACTAACTTTAAATTCTCTGGTGAGCTGAAGAAGTTTGTTTTCCAGGTGCTGAATATGCTCGATGGATGTTGTCTGTGAGAGCACCAGTTCAACCTCCTGTAGGGACAGACTGCTTCGTATCTGAGTGACCGACTGCTCCAGCTGTGTGTCACAGTCCTCCTCCTCTCCATCCCTGAGCTCTTGGTTTCAACATGGCTGTCTACTCTCTCTGTCTGTTTCTCACTCTCTGCCAGAGCTTTTAGGCTGGGAAAGTTTGCCTGGACAGAGCTGAGACATGCTTCATTCCCTTGGAACATGGTTCCACTGTGATATATATTTACAGTCAGAAATGCTTTGCTGTTGTCTCCTCCTTCTTCATGAATTTGTATTTGTCTTCCATTACAAATGCCGTGTTTTTTATATTCTTGTATATATTCAAATGTGCCAAGCATTGCAGTTTTCAGTGTAGAGCAGTAGATTTGTGATAGTGGACCTGTCTCCTTTTTGAAAGTAGTCAGCCATTAAAGTCTCTGGGTTTTCCTTGAGTAGATTGTGTTTATATGTTTTCTTGTCTTTTACAGTCTTTATTTTCTGTGGGTATGTGATTATTTGGGGGAGGGGGCGCTGCCTCTGCCTCTGTCTGCTCCCTCCATTTCCAACTGTCACTCACTCACTGTTGCTAATTTAGCTTTAATCAACCAGTTATTTGTCTCTTTCTTATCTTATTGTATTCTAGTGTTGAAAATAATGTTAGTTGAAGGTGGTGACTTTGTCTTGCCTGTTTGTTGGTTGAAGTTTTGGAGGTTTCTTCTGTATAGTTCCGCTATCCTCCTTGATGCTTTTTTTTTAAGAATTGAATTGAATCATTATTATCTTGTGATTCTTTATGTTTTTATCTTCAGTTTAATGTAGGTATTGTCAGTTTTGGTTCTCTCTAGAGGCACATTTTTTTTTAAAGGGGTCATATGATGGCATGGGGTCATAATGTTCCAGTGTTAGCAGCGCAAAAGGTCATGGGTTCGATTCCCAGGAAACACACATAATGGATAACAAAATATATAGCCTGAATGCACTGTAAGTTGCTTTGGATAAAAGCATCTGCTAAATGCATAAATTATAAAATTATTATTATTAATTATTATTATTATTATATGACGTTGCTAAAAAGAACATTATTTAGTGTAATGCAATGTGTTTATGCTGTTTAAGGTAAAAGAAAAAACATTATTTTCCACATACTGTACATTATTGTTTCTCCTCTATGCCCCACCTTTCTGAAACGTGTCGATTTTTACAAAGCTCATCGGTCTGAAAAGCGAGGTGTGCTCTGATTGGCCAGCTATCCAGTGCGTTGTGATTGGCCGAAAACCTCAAGCTTGTGACGGAAATGTTATTCCTCTTACCATACTGTGATGCTGTGTCCCGGCGCGACGAGACAAAACCAATAAAACCCATTACAAACGAGGCATTTGTTGCATCCAGTGGGGACATAATTACTGATTATAATGACTTATACTGTCTTTTTACGCGTTGTGTTGCGTATCGCATCATGTAAACATAAAACCATGTCTACATTTGTGATCGGAGAAACGAAAAACAACAAGCGCTACTCTACACTGCTCAAAACTCGCGTTTGAATCATCAGTGGCAATTCCTTTAAATATGAAAATGTACTTACAGTCTGTGAGTCAGAACAGCCAGCATTGTAGGCTACTCTTTCAGGTTCAGTAAACAGTCCTCCATAAAATGCGCTGCACACATCTGAATATTTGGGTTGAAGTGTTCTGGAACAGTGTTGTAAATACAACTTAACCACTGATTTGTAGTCGTGTCCTCTTTTGGAAGACCAAACAAAGTAGTTTCGCTTTCACAACGAAACACACAGCATCTCCATGACATGGCGGCAGCGGCAGCAACAATACTACAGCGAGAATCAAAATTACGCCTTCTTTCTTTGCGTGAACATTTGGGCGGTGTTATGCAAATCTTCCCACACAGTGACGTAGACATGTGGGGGCGTGTTTGAACGAGGTGTTTTAGGAGGGCGTGGACGAGTCTTAAATTTTATAAAGAATATCTCTTTGGGTTTGAGACTTTAGTCTTTGCAACTTTATGGATCTTATCTATTCATAAACAGCTTTTAACACTCCAAAGAGAAAGGAAAACTTGAAATTGCATCATATGACCCCTTTAAGTTTTAAGAGCTCAAGTGGAGCATGACTTCTCCATAACAGTTCCTCTACTCTCTCTCTCTCTCTCTCTCTCTCTCTCTCTCTCTCTCTCTCTCTGTGAGCTATTTAATGGCTTTTAGTTACACTAAAAAAATTGTAAAGGTGTTTTTTGGCCTTCAGAAAACACTACCGTAGTATAGTGATGTATCAGATGCAAAAGTCCAAGGTACTTCCAAAATCTGGTAGGACTAAAGAATGTGGACCCAAAAATTAAACAGGCTGTACACATAGGCTTAGATTAAAATTTTTAATACTGAGACAATCTTAACTTCGCAAGAAGCAGAATAGTCCAGACTCCAGATATCAGTGTAACCAGGGGTGGATTTAGTGAATTGGGGGCCCCAGGCAAAATATAGGAATGGGGCCCTATACATTTGCACACATTTTCCTAGATCAACCTTGAGGTTCCATTTTGTTGTTTTCAGCGTAAGCCTGTGTGCAAAGGCTGTCTAATTCTAAACTTTGAAATACATTTATTTTGAGTCATTTTAACTACAAATTTAAATAAAACTGAAAAAATAACCAAAAGGCAATTATACATTTACACACCTAAAATACATACATACATTTTTTAAGTAAAGGCCAGCGGCAGACAGTGAATTGATCATAGCCTATAGCCTATGTTTGATCAATTTAGCCTTCTCAAATCATCAGGACTTGCCTAAAATAAAATCTATATATAAAACAGTTCAAGTATATCACAATGTTAGTTTAAATGTTTAACCTAGATAAATGTGCGCTGTTAGACGCATATCCAATCGTTTGTGAGGAGAGTGGAAGCTGAATCTCAGCAGCACATGGAGGCACCAGCGCGATTACTTGCATTTTTTTCTAACAGTGGAAACAACTTAAAATACGCAGTAATTTTTGCTCATAAAGGTAAGAGTCATACATCATTCTAAACTGTAAAGGGTCTAGTTTTATTTGTGGGCACTCACAATATCAACAAAACGTTGTGCTTTTATAAAATAAAGAAAACAAACGCTTTCTGCCGTCTCGGTCTTGAACAGGAGCGCTT